GACCTCGATCACCACCATCGCTGAGGCAGACAGCTGATTTGTTCCAGTCCAGCCATCTCTAAATCAGCTGATCGTAGCAGCAGCAAAGGAACAGCGGAAAGGACCGGTAGGCGCCATCGGATAAACGGGGAAGTAATTGCATGTGTGAAAGGTTTGTTGGTGGACTCTTTGCATGTGAGTCAAATGGAATTGGTGAATCAGTGCAATAAAAATTTGATGGTGCAAACTGAATAAATTGAATTTCTAAATGCATGCGAGTATTTTTCATCCCATACGGGAATTGTAGATATCCATTTAGCCTCTGTGTTTTCTATTACGGTTGGTCATAAAATTCTGCTGGTTTCTTTTCTCTGGTCTGTTTGGTTGGATCTTTGCTGTTGATGGTTTTGCTTTGCTCCCCCTGTCTCTGTCAACCGCGGGGTCGCGTGGGACGTCGAGTCGATAATTCGATTACGGGTACGGGTGCACAGTGGAGTGAATTACAGTGCAGTGTTAAATATTTCTGTGTGTGAACAGTTTGAACTTTTTGTGACATTGTAAGTGAACATTAACTATCAGTGGATATGGCTAATGAATTGCGTGACTTGGTGAAACAAGAACGGAACATCTTGAAGACATTTGATTCAGTGAAATTGTTCGTTGAAGGATTCGATGTTGAAGTGCATAGTGTGCAAGTGGATATTCGGTTGGAGCGACTGGAAATTGCCTTCAAGGAATTCCACAACGTCCGTAGGAAGATCGAACTACTGACGGATGATGTTGACGACGATGAAGAAGATGCTGCAATGGATCCCAAGAAAGATGCAGAAAATGCGAGGATCATCATGGATGCTGAAGACAAGTACTGTACCCTCAAGGCCATTCTGATGAGTCTTCGACCGAAGCTGATAGATCCTACGGCTAACACTCAACCAGTCGCACACGTTGCCGGTGCAGGATTATCACGTGTTAAGCTTCCCGAGATTCGCTTGCCAACCTTTAGTGGACCGCTCAAGGAATGGGTAACGTTCCGAGATACATTCCGTAGCTTGATCCATAATAATCCACAGCTAACGGATATGGACAAGTTTACGTACCTTCGATCGTCGTTGAATGGAGAAGCGTTACAGGAAATCAACTCGGTGGAAATGTCTGACGTAAATTACGCAGTTGCCTGGGAAACGCTGGAGAAACGGTACGAAAATAAAAAGCTGATCGTCAAGGCTCATCTCGATGCACTTTTTGCTGTGGAGCCAACCAGGAGGGAGAGTTACGAGTCGCTTAATCGTCTTATCAGCGAATTCGACAAAAACCTGCTGATGTTGGAGAAGGTAGGAGAAAAGACCAATGACTGGAGCACCATTCTGGTTCACATGGTGTGTTCTCGTTTGGACTCAGCAACGCTTCGGAACTGGGAAGCACATCATAATTCGAAGGAGGTGCCGAAGTATGAAAACCTTATCCACTTCCTACGAGATCATTGCTCCGTGTTGCAGTCCGTCGCTCCTGCCAAATCTACGCCGATACCAGAGAAACGATCGAAGCCGTCCGTCAGCAACTCAGCAGTCAAGTCATGGAACAAGTGTCCGTTTTGTGGGGACGGATTTCATTCCGCTTTTCGCTGCGTGAAATTTTTGAAACTGAAGGTACATGAACGCAGTGATGCTGTGAAAAGAGGCAGACTCTGCTTGAACTGTCTATCGCCAGGACATCAGGCACGATTTTGCAGCAAGGGCGTGTGCCACCACTGTAATCAGAAGCATCACTCCCTGTTGCACCCAGAATCACAGCAGTCAAGCACTATTAGAAATACATCCTCCGTCCCACAAGAGCAAAGTAGACCTCCAGCTGGTAATCAGCAACAACCACAGACACAAATACCAAACCAGAACCAACAAACACACGCTCACAGCGCTCACCAGTCTACAAGTTCTCTTCCCGTATTACACTCGCATAACACTGCACCACTGTCCACCACAAACCAACCATGCACAACCCAGAACACTATCGCGCTTCCAACCAATACACTATCCACACAAGATATTCTACTGTCCACCGCCATTGTGTGTGTTAAAGATAGTTACGGCAACTCACGACTAGCTCGAGCGTTACTAGATTCGTGCTCGCAATTCTGCTTCATGACGACGAACTTCTCCAGTAAACTCAAGCTTCGGGCTTCACCTGAACACCTGTCAGTCCAAGGAATCGGTGGTTCAGTCGTCGTAGCGCGGAAGGTAGTTAAGGCAGCAGTTCTACCTCGCTCTCAGGAAATATCATCGTATCGTGAGGAGATGAATTTCTACGTTTTGCCGGAGTTAACGGCAACCTTGCCTGCACGAAGAATCAACGTGAACCACTGGACGCTCCGGACTAATATCAGCTTTGCGGATCCCCAGTTCCACGAACCTGGTCGCATTGATCTGATAATCGGAGCAGAACACTACTTCAATCTGCTCTCTGACGGTCGTGAGAAGGTTGGAGATGAAGGCCCTACACTGCAAAATACAGTCTTTGGATGGGTGGTTTCCGGTCGAGCAGCCGATCAACCAGGCACGTTGCATCGCACATTGTCGTATTCGTGCACGCTTGCAAACCTGCAAGAACAGTTGACGAAGTTCTGGGAGATAGAAACCTGTCGTTCCAGTAGTAGTCAATCGGTAGAGGAGACGGCGTGTGAAGTATTCTTCGATCAAACAACCACTCGTGATGATGCAGGCAGATTTATCGTCGCACTTCCAAAGCGTGAATTCATCATCAATCAGCTCGGCGAGTCCAGAAACATAGCGACAAGGAGATTTCTGGGCTTGGAGAGGCGGTTCCAGTTGAATCCCGAGTTGAAGGCAGCGTACGCAGATTTCATCCACGAATACGAGCGACTTGGTCACATGGTGCAAGTTCCGGACGTCGAAGAGCAGTTTCCCGTGTACTATCTTCCCCACCATGCAGTTTTCAAACTGGATAGTACAACAACGAAATTACGTGTCGTTTTCGACGCGTCCTGTAAGACCAGCAGCGGTGTATCGCTCAACGATGCGCTAATGGTTGGACCTGTAGTTCAGGAGGATTTGATCACCATCACACTCCGATTCCGTTTGTTCTGCATTGCCATTGTAGCGGATGTGGAAAAAATGTATCGGATGATACTCATCTATCTACTCGATCGATGCCTACAGCGGATCGTCTACCGAGATTCCCCTGACGAACCGATCCGAACGTACGAGTTAGCAACTGTCACTTACGGGACTGCATCTGCACCATACTTGGCGACAAAGTGCTTACAGCGACTGGCAGAAGAAGGAGCTCTCGCTTATCCTCGCGCAGCTAAGGTGTTGAAGGAAGATTTTTACGTCGATGACATGCTGACTGGAGCGGACAACGCCGACGAAGCGAAGCAGCTGGCAAAGGAAATGATCACGCTAACTTCATCAGGTGGATTCAACCTGCGAAAGTGGAACTCCAACTGCAAGGAATTTTTAGCCGAATTGCCCCCCGATCTCCTCGATGATCGTGCCACTTTAGAGCTTGATTCCTCAACTTCACCAGTGAAAACTTTGGGGTTACTGTGGGAGCCGCATTCAGACAATTTCCGATACCATTCTCCTAAGTGGGAAAACGAAGCAGTGCTCACGAAACGCGTCGTTCTCGCAGAAGCAGCTCGCCTGTTTGACCCGTTAGGATTGATGGGTCCAGTTGTCGTCATTGCCAAGATATTTCTCCAAGAATTGTGGAAGCAGCAGTGCGGTTGGGATGATCCACTACCCGAAGCGATGCAGAACTTTTGGCAGGAGTATAGGATGAATTTGACAGCCCTCTCGTCGTTTTCAATTCCTCGGTGGATAGGATACACATCTGATGCAATTTCGGTCGAGTTGCACGGTTTCTGTGACGCATCAGACAAGGCATACGGTGCATGCCTCTACGTGCGTTGTACACTGTCGGATGGCTCAGTAGAAGTTCGGCTGCTGATTTCCAAATCGAGAGTAGCACCACTGGAGGATCTCAAGCGCAACAAGAAGAAGTTAACCACCCCTCGCCTCGAGTTGTCATCCGCACTGCTCCTCAGTCATCTGTACGAGAAGGTCAAGCACAGTATTCGTATTCCGCACACCGCAAGCTTCTGGACAGACTCGACAATCGTAATGCATTGGTTATCTTCGCTGCCATCGAGGTGGCAGATGTTCGTAGCGAATCGCGTGTCCGAGATTCAGCACATTACGAAGGGTTTCGATTGGAATCATGTCGCTGGCTTGGAGAACCCAGCTGACATCGTGTCACGAGGGATGATACCGGCTCAGCTTCAGTACAGCACGATTTGGTTTGAAGGTCCACCATGGCTGCGTCGAGACCGCAGCACCTGGCCGGTGGGAAGTCCTGAGGAAGATTTCGAGCAATCACTGCTAGAAGAACGAAGTGCAGTCGCAATTCCAGCACAGTCCAAGCCACACAGTGACATCTTTTCATTTCATTCCTCTCTATCTACGCTGATCCGTAAAGTTGCATGGATTCGTCGCTTCATCCACAACTGTCACAATCGCGAAGAAAGACGCAATGGGTATCTCAGTCACGCTGAACTCCAAGAAGCTATGCTATCACTAATCCGTTTGTCTCAGAGGGAATCGTTTCCGGAGGAGATTTCTGCACTCCAGAGCGGAAATCAAGTCAAGCCGTCGTCATCGATCAACAGACTCACACCAATTTTCGTTGACGGGGTACTGTACGTAGGTGGTCGGCTATCCAAGGCACCTATTCCAGTGAGTCGCAAGCATCCAGCGATTCTCAGCTATCATCATCCCCTGAGCAAACTAGTAGTCATACACTACCACCAGAAATTGTTCCACGCTGGGCAACAGCTTCTCATAAGTAGAGTACGGGAGAAGTACTGGCCCACGCAGATCAGAAGATTAGCCAACACCGTAATCAACGAATGCGTGCCGTGCTTCCGATGCAGACCGAAAGTGTTGGATCAGCTGATGGCAGATTTGCCGTCGGAACGAGTTACACCCGCGCCACCGTTCCTGAAAGTTGGTGTCGATTACTGTGGACCTTTTCTGGTTGCCTATCCCAATCGTCGAACAACTCCGCGTAAATATTTCGTCGCAATCTTCGTCTGCTTGGTCACGAAGGCTGTTCATCTGGAGCTGGTGGGAGATTTAACAAGCGAAGCCTTCCTCGCAGCATTCAAGCGTTTCGTCGCACGAAGAGGCAAACCAACCCTGGTAATGTGTGACAACGCTCTCAACTTCGTCGGAGCAAGGCGCAAACTCGACGAACTACACGAACTATTCCGTAACCAGCAGTTCCAGCAGTCGATCGTAAATGAAGCTGAAGAAGACGAGATAGAATTTCGATTCATCCCAGCACGTTCGCCCAATTTCGGTGGCCTTTGGGAAGCTGCCGTAAAATCCTTCAAAAGCCACTTCAAACGCACCATCGGATCCAGAACGTTATTGCACGATGAAATGCAAACGGTGATAGTTCAAGTGGAAGCGATCCTCAACTCCCGTCCGTTGACGCCGGTCAGCAATGACCCAACGGATTTCGAAGCATTGACGCCTGGTCATTTTCTGGTTCAGCGACCGCTAACAGCTGTTCCAGAACCGGACCTCAGTCATATCCCGGAGAATCGTCTTTCACTGTGGCAAAAATCGCAAGACTTCGTGCAGCAGATATGGAAGAAATGGTCCTCGCAATACCTGTCCGATCTCCATAACCGAACCAAGTGGACTCGTCGACGCAATAACATCTCCGTTGATACAATGGTTCTCGTGAAAGAGGACAATCTTCCACCGATGAAATGGAAGTTGGGACGAGTAGTAGAGGTTCACGCGGGTTCCGATGGGAATATCCGTGTAGTGACCGTGAGAACGAAGGACGGTCTTTTCCGGAGAGCTATCTCAAAGATTTGCGTCCTTCCCATTCGGGACAACCAAGCTGTGCCCACTTCTGAGGAGAATTGAAACTCCTTCGCTTCAGCGCTTCGGCGCGCTTCCGTTCACTATTCGAACAACTCGGGATCCACAAACCAGTTCAACCAGTCCAGTTATCAGTAATGTCGTCCAGTCAGTCAAGCATGTTAAACGTCCATAATGATGTCCTGTCCAGTCCTGAAATAAATATCAGTATCGTCCTGTAAAGCCTGGCACAACCGTGTCAGCATCTGTCAGTATGTCCAAGACCAGTTACTGTCCAAAATCATTCTGTCATCGTAGAAGTAGAGAATCGGTGTGCACAACCAATCCAACGAAGGGAGCAATCCATGGCACTCTCCTTCTCAGTGCAACATCCAATAACATCAACGGGTTTGGCCAATCCGTACCGGTGGTTCTTCAACGCTGAAGTCGATGTCGTCACACCATTCTGCTAATCGTTCTACTGGCATACCGTATCGCGATGATCAACGATGATCGTCATCGGCGCTGTAGGCGCTCGCGGAGGCCCGGAGGCCTCCGCGTCAGGCAAGTTAATTTGTATTTCTGTAATTCAGTTGAAAAAGGCCCCTCTCATTTTGTAGGGCAATCAGGCACTCGTGGAGGCCAGGAGGCTCCCGAGTCAGGCATCGTGGACATCCCGACATTCCGAAGTCACCCGTCATTCCGTGTGATACCCCAAGACGCAACAACATCAGTCGCTGGTAGTTAAACCAGGAAGCAAGGAATCAAGATTCGTGGAATCAACCGGAGATGAACAAAGTGGTGCTCCTCCGATCGGACGGGTCGGAAGCGTCACTCCTGGGATTCATTCATCAAATAACCGAAGCAATCGAAATCAAGAATGACCGAAGAGGGAAGCAGGCGACAGAGCAGTTTTCCTAGGTAAATAAAAAATGGTATATGTCCTACCGTAGCCAGGACTAGGAAATACTGCACCCTAATTGATTTCTCCAACACTTCCATGGTATGTGGCATGATGTCAGCAACAGCATCCGAGCGCATCATCAGCAGTGACACCAGAGCCTACGAAGCCAAGTGAGATGCGGACGAAATCAAGTAGTTAAAAAAAAAAGAGACCGTGAAAAATTTATGTTAGATATAGTGATTAGTGTAGATTTAGTTAGGAACAGTAGGAGTAATTTGTCGAAATTAACATTTCAAGGTGGCCGGTATGTTGGCACAAAATAAGATGTTGGTCACCCTACACTAAATTGTTGTACAGTTACACACTATCTCTATTATCACCATTCTTATCACACACTTCACACAGCAATAGACACTCACTCTCTTTTTCTCACACCCCATGTACACGATCGCAAGCAACAGATAGGAGAAGATTACCGATCAGGATAGTAGTAATAAATCATCCGCGCGCGCAGAAGATACACTCTGTCCGTCTATCCAAAAACAAATTGGGAATAAACAGTGTCCGATATACCTCTTGACCACAATAAAAGTGTTTTTATGTTCTACCAAACGTCGCGTGTGCAAAGTACCGAAATCCGAAGAAACTGTCCGTCCGGTGATACAGTCCACCCCAGTGTCGAACAGTGACTGAGTAAAACTATATCACTGAATTTTTTCTTCTCAAACAAATTTCTTTATTTTCCAATAAGTTTTAGTAACAGAAGTGAACATTTATGAAATTTCTGTAAGAAGCTAGGGGTTGAAAAACAGAACCACCCCCGTAAAAAGAAACAGGTACATCAGCAGCACCAGCAAGCAGCAGTTACCATTACCAATAGATTTCACTCTGGGATACATATTTTTGACTGAAAAACTGTTTATATTTAGCAACTGCAGCATACTTACTTACATCAAGTCTCAATATTTTCGGAAATCTTGCATTTATTTCACGAAATTCACATTAAATAACATTTACGTGGAATGCGGAAAGATAAAGCTGAATTCGAACGAGAACAGTTTTGTTTACATTTTTTTCCGGGTGAAAAGGAGGGAATGGGAAATGGACACAACAAATTAATGCTAAATTAAAACTAACTATTGTTGGCTTAATAAAAGAATATTGTTATTTTTACAATAGTTGCAATTGAAATGATTTATTATTTTAATTTCAACAGAAATTGTTTGTTTAAATACAACTTTTTTTTTTGTTCATTGCAAACAATTTTCTGTCCGTGTAGTTATTGGGCTTGGACTATTTTCTAAAAAAAGCATTTTCTTGAAAATTTTAAATTATGCTCATTTATAGTCATAGTAAAGATCCTTCATGTGCCGCTGATTTTACTAAAATCCATCCACTACCAAGAAAAAGATGAAAATCGAGTGTTTTACTAAAATTACTCAAACTTCATTCCTGTTATGCCAATAAAGTCCAAAACTATACCGATAAATCAACAAATAGTTATTAAACCACTAGAGTGTTCAAAACAATTATCCATTCAGGTGTACACTCAATTTTGAGATACACTGTAGGTACCAAGAGCCATCAGCAGGGGACTAGGGAAAAAGAGTGTGGGTATTGTTTTATGGTGTTTACGCCTCCGTCACTTTTCAGCCAAGATTAATTAAGCACTCTGTGTGTGTGTATGCGTGGAATCAACTCCAAAAACAAATGGAACACTAAGCTGGCCAAATGGAAAATGGAAAATGGAAACCTGAGTGCAAACACCAGAAGTATCTGGAAACCCAATGTTTATTAATTTATAATTCTGAATACAAAATATATGTTGGGCCTTGAGCTATTTGTTTCCGTTTGCTATAATTTTGTAACAATAGGATATGTATTACAGGTAAGCAAAGGATGAGCTCAGTAGCTTAGTGACTACATATTCCGATTACTGCGTAGAAGATTGAGAGGCCTCTTTACTATACATAGTCACTATATTCATAGTCTAGCGAATCGAGCATGACTGTTTTTTTATCAGTGTGGTGCAAGTATTGTGATCGTTACGATAATTAAATCGGTAATGAATTCATTTATGGTGGTAATTTTTCAATGCGTTCCGAATGCACAACTACGAGTAATATGTAGACGAAAAGCAATATAATTTTTGATAGTAATTTTTACGGATGGAATGTAAATTTGTCAAATACATTGTAGGTGTACGTTAAAAATTGTATGTTGATCGATATTATTTTTAAAAATTTGCTCATGCTCCATATAAAATTGTTAACATGGATATTTATTCTGCACAGATACAGAATGTTTATAATGCGTAAATTGAAAATGTTCTGCAGTGGGTTAAGCAGCTTCATGGGATGCCAGGATTTTATTACAAAAATAAAAGTTGCCATTTGGCCAGACTGTGCATCCACCAGACTATTAATATAGTGACTATACTCTTATCATATTTTTTACATAGGCAAAATTTTATTTGGTAGTCAGCTTATTGATTATATTTAATTTAGGGCTAGATGAAGCACAATGGCCACCGTAAGGTTGGCATCATTTTAATGCTTAACGACAAACATCAGATAGAACTATTTCCGCACATCGAATGTACGTGAGCAAATCGGCGATCATCTCTTTTGCCATTGGTGGCGGAGGGAAATACCCCTCACCATCCCTCCCCTACAGGGAAGTTTGGTAAAGAAGATGATTAATCAGATTCGTGCCTTCCTTAAAATTGACGTTTGCTCGCTTTCTACTCTCTACTGCGGTACTCTAACGGAACTATCAACTCTATACTTTGATCTTCTCATCGATCGTATAAAATGAACACTTTAGCCTGATATTTATCGTTAAGCATGTATGAAAATCATTTTTATATTTTAATTGTAATGTCTGATCCAGCACCACGCATTGATACAATACAATGTATTGAATTTTTTTATTTGCTTTAAATAAATTAAAAAAACAGTAACTTTTTACACCGTTTTCAGACACCCCTACGGGACAAAAAAAATGCACTCATAGCCGAAGTTGGTTTTATATAAAGTTTTTGAGTTTTTATTAATCAATTTACAGTAATGACCCGATTTTGCCAGCCCCTTTTATGAAAATATTTCTTATGTTTGGATTGCTTTTGGATTTCAATAAAAATAGGCGACGCAAGTTTGGCTGTTTTGCTATTAACGTCTAGTGGTTGTTTAAAGTTGTTCAGTGTGCAGCTTTCTGTTTTACATGTTATTATGCCGCTACAGATTTTGTCAAAAACCATGAGTGGTATCATTGAATATGCCTCCAAGTGTGTATATGGTTTATTCGTGCAATGAAACTTAAAAACGGTGTTCTATCGAACGAGATATCTCTAAACGAAAATATGTCATAAATTAGTATATGACAGATATCAATACCGCCTTCTGAATTATTGTTCTACTATAAGAAAAACATCATCAAACTGTTTTGCTCGTGATGATAGTTCGTGAGTTTGTGTTTGGCTCGTTTTGACGTTCATATTTTCGAGTCTGGATCACCTATCCAGGAGCCCGCCGTTTTTGCTAGTTGAGTTGAGTATAGTGGGTTGTGGGTTCTATTCCCGACACCTTTGCATTTTGGATTGATCGAATCGCATTCTCGCGTTATTTGAATGGATGAATCCGGACCTGATTCACACTTCCCACTCTCCCCCTATGTAACAATAAGTAACGCTTCACAAAACCCCACCTCCTAAAGTAACGTAACTATACCTTTTACAAGATTGAAACAAGAAATCCCACACAAGAGTTCGATTTTTTTCTATGGTGAGTCAAAAAATACAAAGTTTTCATACAAAGGGCACTTGGATTTATTTAACAGTAAATGTGTTTTTCGTAATTGATTTTTTTTTTTCATTTTTGTCAATCTGTTACCACACACTATCAAGGGAACCTCTTTCTCCTCAATCGTCGTACACGCATTTAATGATCATCTCAAATAGTATTAGTTGCGCGAATCTCTCACAGGCATCGGATCACTTAGACGTTTCTATACATTCTATAGAACTTGTATGCAACATTGTTTGAGACTGGGCAAGCAAGCTTTATTCCACGAATAACTCGCGAGTCGTTAGTAGCTTCAATGACATATTGAAAGAAAATTTATATAAAGAGTAACGTCTGTTTTCCCCCGTAACGTGGGTAGA